AGAAAAAAAAATTATGGGAAGAAACAAGGCCAGGAAATATATTATAAAAAATTGTCAAAAATATAAATCTAAATAGTTTAGAATGGTCTCATACCATCGGAAAAAAGGTTTTGATATGAAATTGACTAATGGGCTAAAAACTATTTAAGACTGGTTTAGAAAGTATACTTAAATTATAATTTTTAATTTTAACGTTTGAAAATTAATTTTTTTTTTTAAAAATACGATAGTAAAATTAATTATTTGAGTTTAAATATATAAAATAAATAGCCCTTAATTTACGTAGTTTAAGGGTTTGTGATTTCTCTGTCCTGCCCTATAAACCTTTTAGATGCAAATCTTGCCTCAATAAGAGACTGAAAAACTCTACAAAGAGCAAGGAAGAAACAACCTTTGTCAGGGTGAAAACCCAGCCACATGAAAGGCATAAAATTAAATTCCTAAAAAAAAAAAAAAGAATTGCAAAGACATGCATAAAATTCACTTGAGAAAAAATCACCATGCCTATTTCTAACTTCTAAGCATCTTTTTCAAAAACAGTCCTAAACTATTAACCCAATTTCTATTCAATCTGCACTTTGCCTTTTTCTTCCTTCCTCTGTATCTTACATTTTTGTCGTATTCGCTTTAGATCCCTCATTATTTTCTTGGAAGCATATGAAAAAAATCACTCAATTACCCATTCCATTTGTGTTTGAAAATACAAAACCAACGTTACTAATATGAATTAAAAAAAAAAAAACAGAAGTAGCCTTACGCATTTCTTAATTATAATCAACATTTAAAAAGAAAAGAGAGAGATATGTTTCTAATTAACAAGGAGAAATTTATTTATTAAAGTCTTTTGTTTGACACAACATGCCGTATCGATATATATGCTATTAGTTATTTACATTGATATTCTTTTTTTTTTTTTTTCGCTTTGTAAAGTCATTAAAATGATATTCATATATCGTAGTTGGGATGAATGCCAAAAAAAAAAAAAAAAAGGCTCAATGCATGTGTTATTTAATTAGAAGTCACATTTTAACAATTATTATCATAAAATCACATTTTCATCAAAACCATCTTAGAGGAAAAAAACATCTAATTAAGACCGCTAAACAATAGATTCGGAGTAGATGCAATTAAGGAACTTTTTTTTCCTGACATTCTACAGTTGACCATTCTACTTGTAACTACTACTAACTACCGTCGCTGTTTCCTAAAAAGTCGGTACTTTGCCTGCCGACGGAAACGCTCCTCTTATTTTTGGGAAAAAAAAAGGATTCAAAATAAAAAATGGCTACACATAAATCACATGGGTGAGCATGGAAAGACACTTTTTCTACGGAGTAAGCGAGCGAAGAGGTACTCCAGACAGGAACCACAAGTGATCCGTATTCTGGGCCCGTTTAGTTCGCTGATTTAAATTTTTAATTCGAGTTGAGATGTGATTTTATGTGAAAGCTTTTTATTGTAGTAAAAAAGTTAAATGTAATTATTTATGAGAGTTTTTTACTATAGCAAAATTCGAATTCTAAACTCGAATAAGCGAAATCAACGGAATCTGAGGATACTATTGTAATTTTGAAAAAGCAAATGGGAAAAAAAAGAAAAAAAAAAGAAGAATGGGAAAAAAAAGGTCCACCGACAGCCCCCTTCAGTGAGCGAAGGCGAGAAACAAACATGCCACGGACAACAACCGGTGGATTCGTAGGCCAGCCTGTCCACAGCAAACGAATTATTTGGAAGATAAATTTTTATGATTAGTTATATAAATTATGACCCCTTGTCTTTTTTTCCTGATAAAGACTCACTAACACGCAATATCCGACGTGTCGATGTTTCATTGGACATGTAATTTTGGACTATGAAACGTTTGCGTTGTTGACAAGTTCCCAGACACTTCAAACTCACCTTTAAGACTGTCGTATGAAGAGAATAATTGCAGCTTTCCTTGGACGCGGCTAGTCGGCTACATCTGTGTCTAAGCGGCTTAGCCGGTTGTTAAATTAAAAATAAAAATAAAAAATAGCCTTGGTTAACTTAAAAATAAACTTCTATTATCCTTTTCAATAAATAAATAAACTTCTATTATGAAGATTAGTGGTTTGAACACCAATTTTAATTTTAATTTTTGTGTACTAACCAATATGATACATGAGTTATTATATTTTTATTGGTAAATATAATTTCTTATAATTAATTGACTTGACAATATTTTTAATATCCACTAATATAAAAATGACAACTTTTGTGCCATATCAGTTGATATATAAAAAATTCAGATTTGAGTTGGTGTCTCTAGCATTATTCTTATTAAGAAACCTTAGAAAATAAAAAAAACCTATAATTTTACCATGAAGAGTTTTTTTTTTTTCAACAATATCATATATAACTTTATTTTTTAAAACCTTCTTTCAATTATGATTAAAGATTTAATTAATTGATTAGTCAGTTTTTTCTCGGGGAAATTTATTAATCCATTCAATAGAAAAATTTCAATCAACATAAAGTGCATTTTCTATTTGATAACATATATAAAATAATTCTATTTTTTCCAAAAAAAATAGAATTATTTATTTTTTCCAACAAGAATGTAGGAGAAAATTTTCATTAAGTTCATAGTTTTTTTTATTGTTATATGAGAATTTTCTTCGAAAAAATGGCTAAATGAAGAAAATAGTTTATTTAATTTCATTTATTTTATCGATTCGAGTTTAAAATTTAAGTTTTATTACAGTAAAATTTTTTTAAAAATAATCATATTTAATTTTTTTATTATAATAAAAAATTTTCACATAAAAATATATATCAATTCAAATTAAAAATTTAAAAACAACTGTTTATTTTTCTTTTGGCTTTTACCTCGGGCAGTAAGCTTTCAATTTTTACCTTACGCCGCTTGAAGATCGAAAGACTCGCGTTCTCCGATCGCTCCACACAAATGAATTTATTACCAAAGTCGAAAAATATGGGTTGGTCACCACCACGGGCAACCGGTTGAGCCGGTAAATTAAAAAAATAATCTGCGAAAGGAAACGATAAAAAGACAAGCACAGAGATAGCTGGAAGAGAGAGAGACAGTAGAGAGAGAAAACAAAGAGTACGGAGATGGCGTATTGAATGGGCGAAGAATTCACTGTCTCTTCTCTTCTTTTCCATCTCAATCTCTCTTGACACTTTCTTTCTCATTCAACATTGCGATCAGGTAAAACTACACCACAAACTAAACTCAGCAGTCTGAGAAGACTGCGGAAAATCAACCAGAACTGACATGGAAGCCAATGCCGGAATGGTCGCTGGTTCTTACAAGAGGAACGAGCTCGTTCGGATTCGCCACGATTCCGATAGTGGGGTTAGTCTTTCCGGATTATCTATCCATTTTCCATTTCTCCGTCTTTTTCTTTTTTTTTGTTTTGTTTTTGTTTGGGTGTGGTTGTGTTACTGTCGGCAGATCTGACCGGTGATTGTCTGAAAGTGAGTTTGCACTTCATCAATTTCTAATTGCGTTTCCCGTTAAATTTGGAATATGGGTAAATTGGGACAAGTTTTGTAGCTAGAGAATTATCATTCTCTTTTTTTTTTTTTCGTTTTTTTGTTTATACTGGTTGGATTGTGGATCTGCCTGGCGATTTGTGCTAAACCGTATTTTCCTTTTAGTCCTCTGGAAAATGGATATTTCCCGGATGTTTTAGATAGTCTCAGATCCTGTTATAGAGTTGATAGTCTCAGATCCTGTTATAGAGTTGTGGGATTTATCTTTTTTTTTTTTAAATAAATAACAGACTAAACGGATTAAGTACTAAGATCTGCGTCTGACTTCCTATGGTTTTAATAACAGCCCAGCTGGAGACCCGCTTCAATTATTCTGCTTAATGCTTATATATGGTTTAATCTTCGGATCGTTATTGTTATTTTTTTCCGACAAGATGTTCGCGTTACTTTAGTACTATTCATTATTTAGCCCGGTTAATTTTATCTAGCGCATGTTATGCTGTTAATTTGGTTAGTTGCATTTAGAAATTGTGTTTAGCATTTATCACAGACAATTGGTTAAACGTGGAGCCTATTTAGTGAACAAAACGAATATTCGTAAGGAGTTTAAAATCTTCATGCTTTTATTGAATACAATCTAAATGGATTATGACCTGTAGTTCTAATTTGAATATTCTTTTCGTCCTGGGACAATGCAGCCCAAACCCGTGAAGCATTTGAATGGCCAAATATGTCAGATCTGTGGTGACACTGTTGGATTGACAGCCAATGGAGATGTATTTGTTGCCTGCAATGAGTGTGCTTTCCCGGTTTGTCATCCTTGTTATGAGTATGAAAGGAAAGATGGGAACCAGTCTTGCCCCCAGTGCAAGACTAGGTACAAGAGGCATAAAGGTAATCTAGGCTGGTATTTTTGTTTATTTGTTTGTTTTTTATACTTTGGATCAACTCATCATTTGGGGTTGCAAGATTCTTCTAACTAATGTGTTTTAGGGAGTCCTCGAGTGGATGGAGATGATGATGAGGATGATGTTGATGATTTGGAGAATGAGTTCAATTATGCACAAGGAAACAACAATTCAAGACGCCAGTGGCGAGGAGAAGATGCTGACCTCTCATCTTCCTCTAGACATGAATCTCAGCAGCCTATTCCCCTTCTCACTAACGGGCAACCGGTAGGAAATCAAAGCAATCTCTAGAGATCATTTCAATTTTAATTTCTCCTCTGTGGGTATAATATAGGTTTGTTTGGTTTATGTTGATTTTATTCTTTTGAGGTGTATGATCATATTATTTGAATTTTATAGTTAATAGGTTGCCTAATTTATATTTGAGTTTTGGGATCCATTGGGCACTAAAAGAACTTAAAATGCAGCCTCAATAAATTACAACCTTTCATGGCTGATGTATGCACCATTTTTTTGTCCTTGCTGATGTTGCCTAATTTATATTTGAGTTTTGGGATCCATTGGGCGCTAAAAGAACTTAAAATGCAGCCTCAATAAATTACAACCTTTCATGGCTGATGTATGCACCATTTTTTTGTCCTTGTTGATGTGCCCGCAATTTGTGTAGGTATCTGGTGAGATTCCCTGTGCTACACCCGACAACCAGTCCGTGAGAACCACATCAGGTCCTTTAGGTCCTGGGGACAAACATCTTCCTTATGTTGATCCTCGGCTTCCAGGTACTGAAGGAGCTTAATTTTTTAGAAAAATTCCTTGAGATACCTTCTGTTTGTAACGTTTATTTGATTGAGTGTTACAGTTCCAGTGAGAATTGTGGATCCATCCAAAGACTTAAATGCTTATGGTCTTGGGAATGTTGACTGGAAAGAAAGGGTTGAAGGTTGGAAGCTCAAACAGGATAAAAATATCATCCAGATGACCAGTAGATATCCGGAGGGGAAGGGAGACATGGAAGGGACTGGTTCAAATGGAGAGGAACTCCAAATGTGAGCACATTGAGCAAAGCTTTTTCTTGCCGATTTCATTCTCTCCCCAGCAGTTTGTGCACTTTGGTGTTTGCATGATTTTTTTATTAATTTTTTTTATGGTGACTCACTTTTCACATTTTCCCCCCTAACTCAGGGCTGATGATGCTCGACAACCATTGAGTCGTGTGGTGCCCATTCCTTCATCTCATATAACTCCTTATCGTGTTGTGATCATACTTCGGCTTATTATTCTGGGTTTCTTCTTACAATACCGTACAACTCACCCTGTGAAAGATGCATACCCACTTTGGCTAACATCAGTTATCTGTGAAATTTGGTTTGCCTTGTCTTGGCTTCTGGATCAATTTCCAAAATGGTCTCCTATTAACCGCGAGACCTATCTGGACAGGCTTGCGCTGAGGTAGGTCAACTTCATTTTAGTGGTGTGGTTGGACAGTCTGAATGTATGAAAGGAAAAATGTGAGAATATTCTCAACCATCGTTTTACTGTGCAGGTATGACCGAGAAGGGGAACCATCGCAGTTGGCTCCTGTCGATGTGTTCGTTAGTACTGTGGATCCCCTCAAGGAGCCTCCTCTTGTAACAGCAAACACTGTGTTGTCCATACTTGCTGTGGATTATCCCGTTGACAAAGTGTCATGCTATGTATCAGACGATGGTTCAGCAATGCTGACCTTCGAAGCTCTTTCTGAAACTGCAGAGTTTGCTAGAAAATGGGTTCCCTTTTGCAAGAAACACAACATTGAACCTAGGGCCCCTGAGTTTTATTTTGCCCAAAAGATAGATTACTTGAAGGACAAGATACAGCCTTCTTTTGTGAAAGAGCGCCGAGCAATGAAGGTAAAGTGAACATATTTAATTTACCAAAAAGAAAAAAAAAAGGAATACATTTGTTTACATGGGGCGCAAATGCTATGCTTATCGATATTTGATAGGTTTTCAATCATTTTCTATGGTTCTATCACGATTTCATAGCATCAATACTAGATATCCTTGGCTTTGTGTTATTACAGTAGCCTAAAGTTCATTCCTTGATGCTAAATAATGTTATCAATGTAATAAAATCTTTGTAAATTGACATTATTTTTGTTCTTATTTCCAATAAGAGTTTACTGTTATTTCTGGGTAGATGCCAGGTTAGTTATCATTGGCTGTGGAATTTGACTTTTTACACGAGTAGGTCAATAGAATAATCGTGAGGTCTGAAATCATATTTGCAGTGCATAATTCATCCTAAACTATTTTTAGTTTCACCTCACTGATTAAGGGTATAAAATGGTATGTCTTTTTTTCCCCTTCCCTTTGGGAGGAAGCGTGTAAGGAATGCTAAGAAGCAATAATGACACATTATTTTCCCTTGCAGAGAGAGTACGAAGAATTTAAGGTGCGGATCAATGCTCTTGTTGCAAAAGCACAGAAGATGCCAGAAGAAGGTTGGACAATGCAGGATGGCACTCCATGGCCTGGAAATAATCCAAGGGATCATCCGGGAATGATTCAGGTACTGTCACTTGTGCCAAGTATTTTTAGGACTCTGTGTCCTTTTACTTTATTTTCTTACAGAAATTTCTGTGTCCAATAACAGGTGTTCTTAGGTCATAGTGGGGGCCTTGACACTGATGGGAATGAGCTGCCTCGACTTGTTTATGTTTCTCGTGAGAAGCGACCTGGCTTCCAGCATCACAAGAAAGCCGGAGCAATGAATGCACTGGTTTGATTTTTTTTTTTTTTTTTCATTACCATTTAGCTTAACCTGCAATTCTCACACATTAGCGATGCTAATTGTACACCATTCTGATTGATGCACTCGGTGATAATCATTTTTGAACTATTGTGTGTAGATTTATGATTTATCTTTATATGCACTGAACATATACGAATGGTAATATTGTTGAATACTATTCATCTTATAATGCATGGTAATGTAGTACATCCCTTTTTAAAAAAAAAAAAAAAATTAAATTACTGAAACACTGTATATCTCTTGCAAATTTGTTTTTGGAACTACCTGGTAGGATCAATCTTAGTTTTTCCTTGATGATTTATGTCATGGGATGTTATGGTGGAAGAGATTCTACATTTTCTGGCTTGATCATTTACCATAAAAAACACCATCATCGTGCTGTTGCACTGTTTTCTTATGGAATGTGGTTTGTTGCCTGATGAGCTGGAAAAGGCTGTCGCATCAAGTATGTGCTAAAGCTGTTCTGATTTTTGACTTGGGCTATCACTTGTTACACAGATTCGGGTCTCAGCTGTCCTGACCAATGGTGCCTATCTGCTGAATGTGGATTGTGATCACTACTTCAATAACAGCAAGGCTCTTAAAGAAGCGATGTGTTTCATGATGGACCCTGCTTTAGGGAAGAAGACCTGTTATGTACAGTTCCCCCAGCGTTTTGATGGCATTGACTTGCACGATCGATATGCAAATCGCAATATTGTCTTCTTTGATGTATGTCCATATTTGATTTTTATCACTGTCAAATATTTCCAGTTATGTGATGTATTTTTTGTACTTAGATATGGTTAACAACTGCAGAGTGACTTGTTTTTCTGTATATTTTACAGATCAACTTGAAAGGGCTGGATGGCATCCAGGGTCCAGTCTATGTGGGAACTGGTTGTTGTTTCAACAGGCAAGCTCTTTATGGGTATGATCCAGTTTTAACTGAGGAAGATTTGGAACCAAATATTATCATCAAGAGTTGTTGTGGTTCAAGAAAGAAGGAAAAGGGTAGCAATAAGAAGTACATTGACAAGAAGAGAGCAGCTAAAAGAACTGAGTCCACCATTCCGATTTTCAATATGGAAGACATTGAGGAGGGTGTTGAAGGTTGGTTTTTCCTGGAAGTTACTTATTTTCTATCTTATCATTTGCGATACTGTAATCTGTGTCTGCATTAAATTTCAATAATGTGTTTTATCCATGAATCATGGTGATTTTCCCATCACAATAACATTTTCTCATAATAGTTGTTAAATATTTTAGATGTTTACAAAAACCAATCATGAATTTTGAAATTTTGTAATCATTTTGAGCTAAAAGAACAGCGAAGATCAAATGAGAGAAGACACATCCACCTTGGAACGCTTACTAGATTCTTGTCTTCTGCAGGTTATGATGACGAGAGGGCACTTCTTATGTCTCAGAAGAGCTTAGAGAAGCGTTTTGGACAGTCCCCCGTTTTTATTGCAGCTACCTTTATGGAACAAGGAGGGATTCCACCATCAACCAATCCTGCAACTCTTTTGAAGGAAGCAATCCATGTTATTAGTTGTGGATACGAAGACAAGACTGAGTGGGGCAAAGAGGTAAGTTTGTATGACTTGGATAAGATTTCAATCTGATCTCTAATTATGCATCAAGTAATGACTTTTCTTTTGTCAACAGATTGGATGGATCTACGGTTCAGTGACAGAAGATATCTTAACTGGGTTTAAGATGCATGCTCGTGGTTGGATTTCAATCTATTGTATGCCCCCTCGTCCGGCATTTAAGGGGTCTGCTCCCATCAATCTTTCTGATCGTTTGAACCAAGTGCTTCGATGGGCCTTGGGATCAATTGAGATTTTGCTCAGCAGGCATTGCCCTATATGGTATGGTTACAACGGGAGACTCAAGCTTTTGGAGAGGCTGGCATACATCAACACCATCGTGTACCCCCTTACCTCTATTCCTCTGCTTGCGTACTGTACGCTTCCTGCCTTTTGCCTTCTCACCGGAAAATTCATCATTCCCGAGGTAAGCACATCTCTTTGTAACAAATGAATTCCTTTTTGCTATTGCATCTCTTCTTTTTTTTTTTTTTAACTTGTTTTTTATATTTCAGAATCATTTTCTGCATTCTATGTTTTTTGTAATGGTTACTCCAATGAATTTGTTTTATTTCCTTTTTGGCAGATAAGCAACTTTGCTAGCATGTGGTTCATCCTGCTTTTTGTCTCCATTTTTGCTACTGGAATTCTTGAGCTCAGGTGGAGTGGTGTCAGTATTGAGGACTGGTGGAGAAACGAACAATTCTGGGTTATTGGTGGAACATCAGCTCATCTTTTTGCCGTCTTCCAAGGTTTGTTGAAGGTGCTTGCTGGGATTGACACCAACTTCACTGTCACTTCTAAGGCATCAGACGATGATGGGGACTTTGCCGAGCTTTACGTGTTCAAATGGACATCTCTTCTCATCCCTCCAACCACGGTTCTTCTTGTTAACTTGGTGGGTATTGTTGCCGGTGTCTCATATGCCATAAACAGCGGTTACCAGTCTTGGGGTCCATTATTCGGGAAGCTTTTCTTTGCCATATGGGTCATTGCCCACTTGTACCCATTCTTGAAGGGTCTATTAGGTCGTCAAAACCGTACCCCAACAATTGTCATTGTTTGGTCCACTCTTCTTGCTTCCATATTCTCCTTGCTCTGGGTGCGCATCGATCCATTCACATCTGACTCGAAGGCTTCATCGGGTCAATGTGGTGTCAACTGTTAGTATACTTGGAACATCATTTTTGTTTGGTGGTAAACACCATCTCTCTCTTTCACCTTCTGTGTGTATATAACAAGAAATCGGAGCATTGAAGAAATCAACAGGATTTAAGTTATGTACGTTCCTTGTGGCCAAAAGGGGGTCTGGTCTGGTCTGGTGGATGAAAAAATGATGAACCATTTGTCTCCTTTTTTGCCGTCTCTTCTTCCACAGGTGTTTGATTGAGTTGGTCCCTATTGAAATGGGTTTCGTGAACTCTACTCGGATCTTATCTTTGTTGTGCAGTGTTGTGATGATAATTGTAACAGTATATAGAAACTATTTATTCAAGTACTTTGTCTAAGAAGAAAAGAAAGTTTGTATTGCTTTTCATGCCAACTTATGTTTATCGTGCCAGAACTAGTGCTGAATACATATTTTTTAGGATTATTTTTATAAATATCCTTAAATTAAGTACCATATTTCAAAATACTCGCGGATTTCTCAAAATAGGTCAAAATCCCCCTGATATATATCCATCCAAATTCCGTCTATCTGATTCGTTGACATGACATTTATTAAATTAAAGATTTGTTTAATTCGTTAATTTAAAGTTAATTTAAAGTTAATTTAAAATTAATGTAATTTTATGTGAATTTTTTATTTATAATAAAAAAATTAAATATAATTATTTTTAAAATTTTTTAACTATAATAAAATTTAAATTTTAAATTTAAATAAGTGAAATGAAGTATTGACCTGTAACAATATGATTAAATATTTAAAAAATAAATAAATCAACTAATAATTTTTTTTTTAAAAAAAAGTCTTCTTCCCTATCTCTCAAAGTGCAGACTGTAATGGCTGCCCAAATCTTATCAAAAGATAAATCATCAAAAACAATAAAAGTAACATATCCAAATCCATCTCATTCAAACACTTCCAAACTAAAAACAAGAGTTTTGTTAGGGAAAATACCAAGTTTAAAAGAGCAGAAACAAAAAACCCACATCTGTAAAATAAGCCTCGTTGGCCGCCGCCCCTCCAAGGCTTCCGACCTCACCCTTGTACGACTTAGCCCCTGCCACCCCGACCGCTGTGCAACCCATGCCTTGTTGTCCTCATCCATGCGCGAAGCCAGACCTCTGTTTCGTCTTCGTTTTGGTCGACCCGTCGAGCTTGCACAGGATGCTGCAATGGAGCTTTGGGTTTGAAGATTTGGGGATTCTAAGGTTAGGGTTTTGGAGGGTTGGGATTAAATCGCTATGTATACACATGTTTTAGTTTTAGTGGAATGAATCTAAATTTGGCTTTTCACGAAAAAGTGAATTTGGCAATTTGATTTTGCTGGTGATGTTTGGATTCTTTGGTTGGAAACGTAAATTAAAGGTATAATATTCGGGTTCTTGCGGAAAGAAGAGGAAGAGAGAGAAAGAAGAGGGACGAGGAGAGAAAGGGTGCAATTTTTTTTTAAATAAAGTTTTTCTACTGTTATTTTTAATACTTAATTATTTTTTATATATAATAAAGTAATGAAATTAATTAATTTTTAATACATGCCATGACAATAAATTATTTGTTAATGACTTTAATTAATCCTTAAAAGCATGCCACTTCAACAACTCTGTTAAAAGTATACACGGAAGTAAATGGAGAGTGTTTTGAACCGTTTTTTATATATTAAAGGGATTTTAATATGTTTTAAAAAATTAAGAGGCCTTTTAAAATATAGTATATAGTTCGGGAGTATTTATGAAAATAATCATATTTTTTATTTACTCCATCAGATTAGTGTGTGCTCATAATATTTGATTTTGTTTATAGATGTAATTATGGGCCGGGCCCGTGGGCTGGCCCAGACCCATCTTGATAGCCTAACTTAGGCTTGCGTGGTTAAGGTTGTTGTACACGATCTCCATTGCAACTAGTAGTCCTCTCTATCCATCCCGTTATGTGATAAGAGTGTTCCGTCCATGTCCCTTTGAAGGGGTACCCTCTCTTTCAAGAGAGATGAGGAGGATCTTATCAGTGGTTGGAAAAGTCCATCAACCAATGACTTTTTTTTCTTTAGTCCTCATTGTTTTCCTAAATCCTAACCTTTCTTTCCTTATTCCAGGGAGATGGATTCATTGTTAGTTCCTTATTCATCAAATTCTATCATGAAGATAATTCAGTGGACACATACTGGGCTGGCATGAGCTGATACTATTTATTTTCTTTGATTTTTCAAAGCTGAAAAGTAGAGAAAATTATAAAAAATAGAATATTCGTGTCGATTGTTGTATTAATTATTAAAAATTATGTTTTAATTTTAGAACGCAAAAGATTCAAAAAATGGGAATTTTTGACCAGTCATTGTCACCTGGTGCCCCACTGCACTAGCAGGAGACTATTTGGCAACGTTTTCTCTTTTCGTAGATCGAGGGCATTTTTTCCAAGCAAGCTCATAATAATGCAATGATCGCGTCTGCAAAATTTCTGAGTGTCTTGACGTCATTTTTTATTTTACTTGATTTTTCAAAGCTGAAAAGTAGAGAAAATCATAAAAAATGGAATATTCACTGAAAAATGGTGCCGCTTGTTGCATTAATTCTTAAAAATCATGTTAATTTTAGGACGCCAAAGTTTCAAAAAATGGGAATTTTTGACCAGTCACTGTCACTTGGCACCCCACTGCACTAGCGGGAGACTATTTGGCAGCGTTTTCTCTTTTCATAGATCCAGGGCATTTTTTGCAAGCATGCTCATAATAATGCAATGCTCGTGTCTGCAAAATTTCCGAGTGTCTTAACATCATTTTTTATTTTATTTGATTTTTCAAAGCCGAAAAGTAGAGAAAATCATAAAAAATAGAATATTCACCAAAAAATGGTGCCGCTTGTTGCATTAATTCTTAAAAATCATGTTTTAATTTTAGGACGCCAAAGTTTCAAAAAATGGGAATTTTTGACCAGTCACTATCACCTGGCGCCCCACTGCGCTAGCGGGAGACTATTTGGCAGCGTTTTCTCTTTTCATAGATCGAGGCCATTTTTTCCAAGCATGCTCATAATAATGCAATGATCGTGTCTGTAAAATTTCAGAGTGACCTGACGTCGTTTATTATTTTATTTGATTTTTCAAAGCCGAAAATTTGAGAAAATCATAAAAAAAATAGAATATCACCGAAAAATGGTGCCGCTTGTTGCATTAATTCTTAAAAATCGTGTTTTAATTTTAGGACGCCAAAGTTTCAAAAAATGGGAATTTTTGACCAGTCACTGTCACCTGGTGCCCCACTGCGCTAGTTGGAGATTTTAATAAACAAATCAATAGTTATTTGGAATGCCAAAAAAACCTTTAAAAATTAACTGGGAACAACGCGATGTTCAATATAACACAATATATATGTAAGGGCATGTTGGGGATTTCATTTGAAAATTAAGCAATGTAATTGTACGAAGATAGAATTGTGATAAAGCCGAAAAATGATGGGGACTGTATTCATATTTGAGACTTGTCTCTACCTACTACTTGTGCTCTCACGGAAGTGTCTGACCAGAAAACATGTCCCGCTCCATCTCCCCACCCACCGGTGAGCAATCGGCATTTTCCAGCCCACCCCGAACATGGAATCGCGACGACGAGAGAATTCCACACAAGCTAGTTTTGCCAAAGGATCCACTCCCGGTCATAAACAACCTAATAGATTCGTTGAACAAGGCTAATGATCGAGAAATCCGGCGAGCTGTGAAAGTTGACGAGCTTTGACAGAAGATAACGCAACTTGAGCTGGTGGTTGACTCGCTGACCACAGAGAATGAGGCTCTCAAAGCAGAGTTCGATAGAACTAAAGCAAATGCTATAGCAGAAAGAAGTAATGCGAAAAGGAATTACAATTAGATCATGAGAGCAGTGGAGGATATAAAGGATGAGGGGGTGAAGACGTATGCAGACTTCATGGAATACCGTTTCTGGATGAATCTCCCACATGTTGTTGGTGGAAACAGTGGTGGTAATCGGGAAAGTCCTAATAACTCAACTAGCTTTTGAGGATTTCCAGTTTATTGTGAATAGGTGTTGTCGGCATACAACACTAAGATGTTGCAGCTGTTGATCTATCATTAACTTTTTTTGGGGTAACTTATTTGCCTTATGATGTTGTGCTTTGTCATATTACGCCTATACTTGTATGTTAAGTTAATCTATGTCACCGTGGATGATTTCTATTATCACTATTGTTAATAGAATATGTAACGAACAAGGGTTACAAAATATTAAGCCTTGGTATTCTGACAGTTAATACACACAACTTAGACGAACGCAGGTTGCAGCATTCGTTAAAAATGATTATTCGATTTGAAATGGAAAACGTTAAACCATTTCCTTATACAGCATTGCCTAAATATGAAACATGCTATATCCAAGAATGTCGGGTTTCAACCCACAAGGTAGGTACATTGGATAAATAAAAGTCACTTCAAATAGTTGTTTGTGTACAACATGACAGAGCTACATAATGTAGAAGCATGGCCTCCAACCGAAAAGGCGTGGCCGGTGAGCCATATTCATGTAAACACACATTTGTCACCACGTCAACATTCGATGTGTACCTTTGCCATTTTTGTCGAGGTACAGTGCATCTGTAAATAAACTTATTCTTGCTTTTGAATGTATATGGAATGATTACATACACAGCTTTTGCATGTATATATGCAGAGTTGTTGCGGAAATGTAGATCACGATTTGATGTGTATTTGTTGTAGTAAATTATATAATATTGTTGAAGAATACAGATATCTTAGATTTGTACAACACGCTACCAATTTATTTATCTTACGACAGTACATATAATGTTGTGTTCAGGACAGTGGGTAACCTAACACACTCTATTCAAGAACAAAGATTTCATTTTCCATGAGGTTGTAGATGGAATGATTACGTAGACAACTTTTGAATGTATATATGCAGAATGGTTACAGAAATGTAGACCATGATTTGATGTGAATTAAAGAATAGCAGATATCTTGGAATTGTACAAGACGCCATATTTTGGATGAAGACCATATTCGGCACGCATATAATATCTTCCTCATGTTTAGGCGGGAAAACCATATTGCGCAATTGGCGTGCATATAAAACGTTCCCCAACCTCGACGGG